CTGCCTCCTGGGTTCAGGCAATTCTTCTGCCTCAGCCTCCTGAGTAGCTGGGATTACAGGCACGTGCCACCATGCCCAGCTAATTTTTTGTATTTTTGTTTTAGTAGAGACGGGGTTTCACCATGTTGACCAGGATGGTCTCGATCTCTTGACCTGGTGATCCACCTGCCTCGGCCTCCCAAAGTGCTGGGATTACAGGCTTGAGCCACTGCGCCCGGCGTTGAAGTATACTGTTATCCCCCAACTTTTCCAATAAGGACACTAAGTAAGTGACTTGCCCTCAGCATACAGCCAAAAGACAAAAATTTGAACTCAAGGCAGCCTAATTTGAAAACCTATTTTAAAAGAGCTAACAGTTTTAATCCACACCATCTTTCCCACTGCCTATCCCTTCAGGAGCCCCTTTCTTGACATATGCCCATACTCCCTTATCCACAAATGTCTCTCTTGACCTTGGACTATTCAACTCAGTAGTCCCCCCTTCCACACTCTTCCAAACCCAGTAGCCTCCCACATAGCTGGGATTACAGGCGCCCGCAACTACGCCCAGCTAATTTTTCGTATTTTTAGTAGAGACAGGGTTCCACCGTGTTAGTCAGGATGGTCTTGATCTCCTGACCTCGTAATCCGCCCACCTCAGTCTCCCAAAGTGCTGGGATTACAGGCACGAGTCACTGCACTCAGCCCATAAAAGCCTAACTTTTAGAATATACAATTACGTATGAGTTGACATAAAAAAATACACCTCTTAACAAGTTACCTCTATAAAAGACTGGAGGAGAAAATTATTTTCCAATGTTTGTTAAAATTCACATTTTTTACTATGAGCATGCTTTATATTTGAAAAGACATGCTCTAAAAACCAAAAAAAGACATGCTGACAATCACTGAGTGGCAAAAAAAAAAAAAAATGGCATTTTATGATTGGGATAAGAAAGTTAAAATGTAATGGAAGAGAAAACAGGGGGTTTGGAGTCAAGGCTGGCCTGGGTTCTAAATATAACGCTTATTTAGTAGGACGTGTAATGCATAAGGAATATTTTCTGCCCTTTTAACAGATAACCTCGGGCTGCATGCAGTGGCTCATGCCTGTAATTCCAGCACTTTGAGAGGCAGGCGAATTGCTTGAGGCTCGGAGTTCAAGACAAGACTGGCCAACGTGGCAAAACCCCACCTCTACTTTAAAAAAAAAACAAAAGTCTCTGGCCAGGTACAGTGGCTCACCCCTGTAATCCCAACACTTTGAAAGGTCGAGGCAGGTGGATTACCTAAGATCAGGAGTTCAAGACCAGCCTGACCAACACGGAGAAACTACATCTCTATTCAAACTACAAAATTAGCCAGGCGTGGTAGCGAATGCCTATAATCCTAGCTACTCGGAGGCTGTGGCAGGAGAATCCCTTCAACCCAGAAGGTGGAAGTTGCAGTGAGCTGAGAACACACCATCGCACTCTAGCCTAGGCAACAAGAGAGAAACTCTCTCAAAAAAAAAAAAGAAAAAAAAACAGGTACCTCTCAAGTGGTTCAACAGCACATATGAAAATGGCTCCACCAAAAAATTTTTTAAAAATCCTTTATCATCATGGCCGGGCGCGGTGGCTCAAGCCTGTAATCCCAGCACTTTGGGAGGCCGAGGCGGGTGGATCACGAGGTCAAGAGATCGAGACCATCCTGGTCAACATGGTGAAACCCCGTCTCTACTAAAACTACAAAAAATTAGCTGGGCATGGTGGCGCGTGCCTGTAATCCCAGCTACTCAGGAGGCTGAGGCAGGAGAATTGCCTGAACCCAGGAGGCGGAGGTTGCGGTGAGCCGAGATTGCGCCATTGCACTCCAGCCTGGGTAACAAGAGCAAAACTCCGTCTCAAAAAAAAAAAAAAAAAAAAATCCTTTATCATCAAAAAACAAAGAAAATGGCTCTCCTCTGGCAGAAATGATCAGTCATTACTTCCTTTCCTGACCACTCCCAACTGTCATCACTGAAATGTCCAGCAACCTGAAAGGCAGATACTTACAATGATTCGGTTCATAGCCCTCTTGACAGTGTTGTTCATCCACTCCAACTTACAAAGCACATGACTTCTTCCAAACTCACTCTTTGAGGGCAACTTCATGTCAAATGGGTTACTATATATTGCCAACTGAAATCCAACCAGGACTGCCAGCTCAGTCAACTTCTCATTAAACTCCAAGCAGCCAGAATGAGCGAGCCAGCCATTTATTTCATCAATGTACTCTAATACTCCCAACTTCTTGGCTTTCCTGTCAGTATGAAAGCTGAACAGGTTATCTTATACATGCTTGTTCAAATACATGGCTAAAGGAAAGTTTAAAACCATCAGATCTGGACCCACTTCAAACTCATGGCTTAAAAAATAAACCCCGTTCTTTCTGCCTCCACTGCCGTCATGGCTCCCGTGAAAAAGCCTGTGGCGAAGGGGGACAAAAAAAAGAAGCAGGTTCTGAAGTTCACTCTTGATTGCACCCACCCTGTAGAAGATGGAATTATGGATGCTGCCAATTTTGAGCAGTTTTTGCAAGAAAGGATCAAAGTGAACGGGCAAGCCGGGAACCTTGGTGGAGGGGTGGTGACCATCGAAAGGAGCAAGAGCAAGATCACCGTGACGTCCGAGGTGCCTTTCTCCAAAAGGTATTTGAAATATCTCACCAAAAAATATTTGAAGAATAATCATCTACGTGATTGGTTGCGCGTAGTTGCTAACAGCAAAGAGTTACGAATTACGTTACTTCCAGATTAACCAGGACGAAGAAGAGGAAGACAAGGATTAAATTTCATTTATCTGGAATATTTTGTATGTGTTCTTGAATAAAACAGCAATAACAAAAAAAAAAAAACCCTGTTTTACCTCTAAACCCTAGTGCAGTTTACATTCTCAATTGTTTCTGCCTCTAAACCTGTATTTTATGATTAAGGCATTTATTTCTTCCTCTTACCTCAGATTCGTTAGTCTTTCCTTATCATTTTACTGTGAGCTCTGGAATTGGGATGGCCAGTTGCAGTGGCTTATGCTAATCCCAGTACTTCAGGAAGCCAAAGCTGGAGGAGTGTTTGTGCGCATCCTGGGTGACAGTGAAATCCCATCTTATAAAAAAACAACTAGCTGGTTGTGATGGTGTGCATCTGTCACCCAAACTGCACTGGAGGCTGAGGCTGGAGGATCACTTGAGCCCAAGAGGTCGAGTGAGATATGACAGTGTCACTGCACTCCAGCCTGAGTGACAGAGTGAGAATGTTCCCTCAAAAAAAAAAAAAAAATTTAAAAGCTGGGATGAGGCCAGGCGTGGTGGCTCATGCCTATGATCACAGCTCTTTGGGAGGCCAAGGCAGACAGATCTCTTGAGGTGAGACCAGCCTGGCCAACAGGATGAAAGACCATCTCTACTAAAAATACAAAAATTAGCCAGGCATGGTGGCACATACATGCTGTTAATCCCAGCTACTCGGGAGGCTACGGCAGGAAAATCACTTGCAGCAAGCTAAGATCACACCACTGCACTCCAGTGTGGGTGACAGAGTGAAGCTGTCTCAAAACCAATAAACAAAAAAAACTGGAGTGAAAGAATGGTTAAAGGTCAATAGCCTAAACTTGCACTGCAGTCAAACACGATTATACAGGTTTTTCTTTCTAGATATTGAGCTGGTGTCATGATACATCACCGTATCCCGTTCCTAAGTTCTTGTGTCATGGACTTTGACATGTGGGAAAGATATGAAACAAATGACAAGTTGCTATTCCAATTTGTATTTGTAAAGTACTTTCATTGAAAGCATAACATGCGTGGTTTTATCTGAACTAAAAATAAATGTCCCTATGAGATTCTGGTGGCAGACAGCCAGCTGGACGAGGTTTTTAAGTTACCAGCTGCCTGAGCTTAAGATTTACAATGGTTTCCCAAAGAGGAGTTATTCTTTCAAAAACTAAACTTCTAGGCCGGGCATGGTGGCTTATGCCTGTAATCCCAGCACGTTGGAAGGCAAAGGCAGGTGGATCACTTTAGTTCAGGAGTTCAAGATCAGCCTGGCCAACATGGTGAAACCCTGGCTCTAATACAAAATTAGGAAGGTGTGATGGCACAAGCCTGTAATCCTAGCTACAGACTTGGAGTCTGAGGCAGAATTTCTTGAACCCAGGAGGCGAAGGTTGCAGTGAGCAGGGATCGAGCTGCTACACTCCAGTCTGGTCGAGAGAGACTCCATCTCAAAAAAAAAAAAAAATACATTAAGAAGCTTCTAGGTCTCAAGATTTATACATTCTTTTTTTTTTTCGTGGAGATGGGGGTCTCACTTTGTCATCCAGGCTGGAGTGCAGTGGGGTGATATCAGCTCACTCCAACCTCCACCTCCCAGGCTCAAGCAATTTTCCTGCCTCAGCCTCCCGAGTAGCCAGGACTACAAGCGCATGCAACCATGCCCAGCTAATTTTTGTATTTTAGTAGAGACGGCGTTTCACCATGTTGGCCAGGCTGGTCTCAAATTCCTGACCTCAAGTGATCCACCCACCTCAACCTTCCAAAGTGCTGGGATTACAGGTGTGAGGCATTTCGCCCTGCAAAAGCAAATTTCAATGATCCTGTCTCAGAACCTTAAGAGATCTACAGCTGAATTCTCTTTCAGGTACCTGATGAATCCATAATAAAACAGGATTAAAAGAATTAGTGGGGACATATAAAATCATTCAACACTACTGGATTATTTAGAGAAAAATATATTTCCAACCCAGTTTTTCTTCAGTAACTTTAATTAGAAATCTTTCTCAAAAAGATGGAAAACCAGAAGGCAACAATCTGGCAGTACAAAAATATACAAGAGATTACCACCAACTAGATCTGACAACTAAATCTTTCTCTGAAAAAAGCATGCTTGGACAAAATACTAAACCAGTGGTTCTCACATTACCAAGGGTATTTATCACGTAGAACTCAAAATTACACAGGGTAAGATCATCCTGAAAAACTAAGTCAATGAGCCAGGAGTCCAGCTTTATCTATTCTGAAAATATCTTTTTATTTTTTGAGACAGTCTTGCTGTCTCCAGGCTGGAGTGCAGTGGCGCAATCTTGGCTCACTGCAACCTCAGCCTCCTAGGTTCAAGCGATTCTTCCGCCTCAGCCTCCCAAGTAGCTGGGACCACAGGTGCGTGCCACCACACCCAGCTATTTTTTTTTTTTTTTTGTATTTTTAGTATAAACAGGGTTTCACCATGTTGGCCAGGATGGTCTTTCTCTCTTGACCTCGTGATCCACCTGCCTCGGCCTCCCAAAGTGCTGAGATTACAGGCATGAGCCACCGCCCCAGGCCATGAAATACCTTTTCAATCCAACAAAATTTCTAATTAAGCAGCACTGTACTAAAAGGAAATAGTAATAATCTGGATTTCCCATCCACATACAGGTTTGAGTGAGAACCACTGAGACTGCAGTCTAATAGGGTGGGGATTTCATTGACAGATCACACGTTTGTAAGGATTTCTTAGATACTCAAATGGTAGATACAGCATACCTGTGTTTGGTAAAACTGAAACTTCTCTGGCTATTTTCAACTTTCTGCTTAAGATGTGGAGGTCAGAAGCAATCCACAATAAAAACCATAGATCAAGCTAAATATTCCTTTAAAAGAAAATTGACGCGAATCTTGTTATGTTGGGCAGACTGGTCTCAAACTACTGGCTCCAAGAGATCCTCATGCCCTGGGCTCCCAAGTGCGAGAGATTACAGGTGTGAGCCACTACACCCAGCCAATATCCTTTAAAACATAACCAACTATAATCCTTAATGTTTCTTTAAATTGTCATCAAGTATTAATAATAGTGACACCTTAATCCTTAAATCACAAGTCTAACTTCGGTTTTGTGATTCCTTTCAGTTTTACAACTCAACTCAGAATATGGACAAGACTGGCTGGTGTGACCTGTTATTTTGGAAATTACAGGAACTTTATAACTTCCCAAATAGCCACAATCTAAATGTGCAATTCAAAGGTTTAACACTTTCCATGTTCTTAAGTTTCTAAGAGCCTTGAGGTTGTGCTAAGGCTTCTGTTTAAAGTAACTGCAAACTGGGACTGTAAGTCACCGAAGTCAGGATAACTCCCTGGTGAAGTCAATTTTATTTCAGGTTCTGTATTATTTCTTAGCCATATTATACCCATACCTATACTGTCCGTTTTACAAAAAAACCTCTAACTTAAGACCCTGCAAGATAGTCATATACTAAAAAAATGCCCATGTAAGTTGTCCATTTATAAGAGCAATGTATTAGCCAGGCGTGGTGGTACGCACCTGTAATCCCAGCTACTCAGAAAGCGGAGGCAAGAGAATCACTCGAACCCAGGGGACAGAGGTTGCAGTGAGCTGAGATCATGCCACTGTACTCCAGCGTGGGCAACAGAGCGAGTCCCTCTCAAAAAAAAATAAAAGTAAGAGCAATGTAACTTGACATATTGCACTGCTTCTATAATTTCTTAGCTATCTTGGCTTGTTCCTAACAGGAACAGATTTTAGGCTATGTGGGAATGCTGAAAGACAAAATGCCCAATGCCAGAGCTCCCAGTAAGTCAACAGGCAGTCTGAAAAGTATCTTCCTTAAACACACGTAACTCGAAAGCTGAATCTTCCTGACACCAATTCTCCCCTCAAGATTTGTGTAAAAGGTGGAAATAATTTAGTAATTTGTTTAGGACCTGTATCTTAATATATATCCATACAGCTTTATCTCTTAATGCAATGACTTATCTTTTGTATTTAAGACAGTCAATACAGCATAATCCAAAACTATCTTGAAAGAGCATATTTAAGGAAATTAAGCCACAAGACTGTTGCATTATGATTTAATCTAATTGCACAAAAATTTGAAATTACAACTCCTCCCATTTTCTAAGAGGAAGGTTATGCATGCCTCCATATTCAATTCTGCACTGTTACATTTGAACCATATTGTGAACTTTACATCATGATGGATCAGCTTAGAATTCCCATGCAACACCTCAAATTATAAAATGGAAGCAATTTTTAGAACTGTGGAAAGTTTTCATGCTGAAGATAAAAGCCATTTTTAATGGGCAACTTACTTTGTGTTACAACGTACCAGGTTGCTGCTATACTTTAAAATGTTGGTCACTAAATATCATGGACCCTGAACTGGCTTCTACTCCTAAAATGGGTTAACTATCACTTAGGTGACAACTGTATTTCCTTCACTTACGAAGACTAATCCATAGTGCATCTCAGCTGTGTTTCTTATAAAATAAGAATCGTGTAACCAACTGCTTCCCATGGGATAAGAACACTGGTAACAGTGGGTTAAACTATTACACAATTATGCTAATATTTTATTAATTCAAAAGCACTTTACAAGAAAATATAAGTATGGCTTCCAATAGGAATGTTATACCTGGACTTGGTACCAAGCTCACAGATTTTGAGTTTGCAAGGAAAAACAGGCTTTCAAGTTAAACAACAATTTGTAACCAAAACTTTAATCCCAAGGAATCTCACAAAACATATTACAAATGACAGCATGAAAAAAAATCTTGCACAGTAACTCAAAGTTCAGCTCTACAATGTACCCTTAAACTGGCAGGTCATTTTTGAAATCTCAAATTTGGACATAATGTCATGAACAGCCATGTATTCATATACAGCAATCAAGTAAGAAACTTATGACCTAAAAGCAAAGATAAACTTCCTTGAAACTTAACAGATTCTATACCAACTAGGCAACCTCTGCCCAGGATAAGCATGAGTTGGCTTTTTCAAAAACCTCTAATTTAACAGAGCAGCGTTTTTTACCCGATGGCTTGTGTTTCACAGCAACTTTTAAAGACTGCTTGTTCAACTATAGCTGCATCCTATATCCCAAAAAAGTAAATCTTTTTTTTTTTTTTTTAGACGGAGTTTCACTCTTGTTACCCAGGCTAGAGTGCAATGGCACGATCTCGGCTCACCGCAACCTCCACCTCCTGGGTTCAGGCAATTCTCCTGCCTCAGCCTCCTGAGTAGCTGGGATTACAGGCACGCACCACCATGCCCAGCTAATTTTTTGTATTTGAAGTAGAGACGGGGTTTCACCATGTTGACCAGGATGGTCTCGATCTCTTGACCTCGTGATCCACCCGCCTCGGCCTCCCAAAGTGCTGGGATTACAGGCTTGAGCCACCGCGCCCGGCCTCAAAAAAGTAAATCTTAGTTCAATTTTTGCCAGTTGTTTCTGTATGTAAAAAAAAAAAAAAAAAATTCACACTTCTGCTGGGCGGGTTTCGAGGTTTATTATCAGTCTATGCATAACTAAAATTCAAAGTAAATTCAATTTTGCTTAAGGGAACATTGTAAAGTAACAATTCTTGGTATTACATGCCTCATATGATCCATTTCAAATCATAGAGAATTACACCTTTGTGTCACTGTTTCAAAAGACAAACAAATTTGAACAGCTAAAACATCTTAAAAATGCACCAAGCTTATGAAGTCTCAAACAAAACTTGAATTTTCTGTACATACTCCTGTCAAATGAAGTAATTTCCTGTACACCACTTCTCTTGCAAACTGGTCTTCTATTTCCTTTCATTTGACCTAGAACGGCTAAAAAAAAACCAGAAAATAAAACATTACATTTGTAACTTGGTGACATATCAAAATAGACTTTTAAGGTAAAAATTTATGGCTTAGAAGACAGGCCTTAGTATACTACATATGCGAAGTCTTAAACAGCTCAAGTTATCAAAGATCTTACCTACGAGATCTAGAGAAGGATCGGGACGGCTTGTGATTTCTCTCCCGAGACAGCGATCTCTCTCTTCTCCTATCTCTAGAAAGGGACCTAAACGAGAGAAAAAAAACATTAGGCCCACTGAGGTATGATAAAATTATACCTAAATATTCTCTTGATCTGGCATGGTGGCTCATGCCAATATTTCCAATATTTTGGGAGGCAGAGGCAGTAGGCTCACTAGAAGCCAAAAGTTTGATAACAGATTGGGTAACAAAGTGAGATCCCATCTCCACAAAAAATAAATTAGGCAGGTGTGGTGGTGTGCGCCTGCAATCCTAGCTACTCAGGAATCTGAGGGAGGCTCCATCCAAGGCCAGCAGTTAAAGGCCTCATTGACCTATAATAATCACATCACTGCACTCCAGCTAGGTGAGACACCCTCTTTTTTTCTTTAAGATGGGGTTTCACCATGATGGCCAGGCTGGTCTTGAACTCCTGACCTCAGGTGATCCACCCACCTCGGCCACCCAAAGTGCTAGGATTAGAGGCCTGAGCCACCACGCCCGGCCCAAGACACCCTCTTTTTAAAGAAAATTAAATTCAAAGTCTTTGAAAACTCAAAGCTGACTCATCCTTACAACTTGATTCACAATTAAAGCCAAGGTTTAATCCCATTAACCAAGCCATCTGGAAAAGTTCAGAACAGCAGAAACACTTGTCATTTCTAAGAATGTAGCCAAAAAAGGTAGTCATTTACCTGCTCCGGCTGCGAGAGAAGCTTCTCCTTCTTGGAGATCTAAAAGCAGAAACAGGAAAATTAGACTCATCACCAATTAGTATTTATGGCGTGAGGCATTTCCCAACTTTTCAATTTCACTGTTGGGCCCAGTGAATGTGCCGAAGAACTGGCACCCATCGTCCAAAAAAAATAATAATAATAATTAAGAAAAGAAAAAAAAAGGCACAGAAGGATTAAGGAACAAAAAGCTCAAGTGAAAAGCAGGTATTCCAACCATGGATTCACTTTAACAAAGAATGCTTCACAGCAGATCTGTCCAATGCAAAACTTCATGTCAAACTAACTTCACTACCCAAACACCACACCAAAATATAGTCCCAAGTAGTTCCAAAAACAGTACCATAAACCAGTATTTGGAACCCATGCAAACCTGTAAGTCCATGACAAGACTTAGGTACCAGGTGGATAGTGTAATTTTGTGAAAACGCGGTAGGTGTCAATATTGATGCCATTAAGTGGTACATTAGAACTGCATTTGTGATCGTCAACATTTAAGAGTGTGTTTAGGCTTACCAAAATTACCTTAGCTTGGCCCACACTTCAACCCCAAATTTTAAAATTTTGAAACTGTTAGTAAAACCATTTAAAGGTGATAGGATTCAACAAATTTTTTGCCAGAAAAGAAAGCTAATCTGTTAGAGATATTAAAATTTTTAGTTTGGCATCTCACACATGCAAATAAGTTTCACTTGACGGACTAGTTACATTACGAGTTCCCTATCACCCTTAAAAGTTTTTCAAGCAATATATATGTACGTTACCATTCAATTATGCACAGCCAGCCTTTGATCCAGAAAAAAGAATTACTTTAAGCCGCTTACTCCTTATTTTAACCAGCAGTAAACTGTATAAGCAGGAAAAACTTACTAGTTTTGGGTTTCAACAAGCTAGAAATGGTGAGGTGAGGCTGCCGGACTGACGGCCAGGAAGAATTTGCTGAAAAGGTTTTGCCAGATGTTGCGTTGGATTTAGTTGGTTGGCGAAGGGGGTGTTGTGGATTTTTCCTGCTTTTTTGTTAGCCGAAGGCTGCTGCTGTAGTTGTTGTGAAGACATTTGGTAAATAAACAGCTGAGCTGATTGGCCAGGAATGTGTGGGCGGTCGAGGTGGCTGCTGCCGATTTGGTTAAGGTTGGAGAGAAGGCTGAGAGAAAACAGCATGCTCGGGAACCAAAGGGCGGTGCAACCTGACGACTGGCCAGCCTGGGTCATGTGAAACGACACCAGCCAAGCTGAATGGGGCGCGCTGGTCACATGACGCTGAAAGGGCTAGTTGACTGGCTAATGCAGATTCAGAGGGTGGTGAGAAGAGACATGATGGTGACTCTGTAACGGGGTTCATTTTTATTAATAGATGGACCAAAAAGCACAAAAAAAATGAAAAACAAGCCATCAGTACAACCATCTATTAGCTAACAAATACTCTTTATTATGATGGGCAACAGTGTGCTGTTGTTTTTCAAAATAGCAAAAGGGGCAAGATTTTGAACTCCTGTCTCCTAGAAGGACTCCACTCACCTGTAAGAGGTAAATTTAGTCCTATAGAAACTATTTTGGAGGTCTGAGGAGATGTGGAGTTAGCATCCAGACAATACTGCCTGGTCCAAGAATGATGCCATTTTAAATTATAAAAAAACTGAATTTTCTTCTATTTGGGATTGAAGAACAGATGACTGGGATTACTTCCTTTTTAGCCCCCTTTATTGGTCAGTGACTTAAGTTTCAGAATGACTTCTACTTTACCAGTTGTAACATTAAAACAGCTGCCTGTTTGATAAATATTACAATTGTCCTAGTAGTAGAAAACACAAATTTGTGAAGAGCTAGAGTTGAATGTAATGTTTGTCATTATGGAGCCAAGAAATGGATAAAGGCCTAAACTGAAGTTTAAGGGAAGACTTGAAAAGATGCAACTAGAAAGATGAACTAGAAGACAGATCCAAGATAGAAGTTACTGACTACCAACATGAACAGTGACCTAAAGACAAAAGCCAACACTCAGCACAACTCACATACCCCAAACTAAACCCAACAAATATGTTTCACAGAAACCTCAGATTCTTCCAAAGTTTAAAACCCACCAACAAACTTTAAGAGAAATACCTGCTCCTACTAGCTACTCCATTACACCAATACCTCTAAACACACTCTCTCTCAAGTACCTGCGACGAGGTGGAGGACTCCTCCTACGATAATCATCTCGAGGACGACGGCCCCAAGAGGGAGGTGGGCCACGATTTCTACTTCTTTTTTCACCATTCGACAGTTCCACTCTTACACGGCAGCCACATAGTGTTCTGAGAGGAAAAAGACATTAAACTTAAAACAGCCTTTCTGAGATGTATATTAAAGCCAAAAGTACTCCCTATAGCTACTCTGCAAAGAACACATCCAAGTGTCTACAGAATACCAAATTTCTTTTTTTTTTTTTTTTTTGAATACCACATTTTTAGTTCTCTTATTTTTACTAATATAAATTGGGCTTGGTCGGCTACAGTGGCTCACACCTATAATCCCAACACTGTGTGAGGTCGAGGTAGGCGGATCATGAGCTCAAGAGTTCAAAACCAACCTGGCCAACATGGTAAAACCCCGGCTTTACTAAAAATACAAAAATTAGCCAGGTGTGGTGGCACACGCCTGTAATCCCAGCTACTCAGGAGGCTGAGGCAGGAGAATCGCTTGAAGGCAGAGGTTGCAATGAGGTGAGACCACACCACTGCATTTCAGCCTGGGGGACAGAGCAAGATTCCTTCTTGGAAAATAAGCTTGTTTCCCAGTTTAATTTCGGATTAAACAATTAAATAGGATTTTCTAAAGTACCAATTCACAAAGAAGCCAACTTCTATTTTATTCCTTAATTGTTAGCACCAGTCTGATTTAGTTCACTGTTAATTTGTTAACAGGTACGATTTAAGTGTCACGATCCTTCCATTTATCCCTGAAAAAGCAAGTTCTATATCTAAATCTAAATCTAATTATGATTTCTTCCTTGAGATCCCAACACTTAGTCAGTTATTTACCAGGCTGTATTTACTGGTCTTCCACTGCCCCACTTTAAGTAAAAATGGGTTCAAAACAAGACAGAACCATTTTGGCCATTTTACAGCACCCTCTCCCCTCAATTATCAACAGTCCACACAGAAGAAATTGTAGCTGTGGCTAGGTGAGGTGGCTCACACCTGTAATCCCAGCACTTGGAGAGGCTGTGGCAGGAGGATGGCTTGAGCCGAGGAGCTTGAGACCAGCCTGGGCAAGACAGTTAGACCGCCATCTGTATTATTTTTTAAATAACAAATTTGGCAGGGCACGGTGGCTCACGTCTGTAATCCAATCACTTTGGAGGCCAAGGTGGGCGGATCACCTGTGGTCGGGAGTTCAAGACCAGCCTGACCAACATGGTGAAACCTCGTCTTTAAAAAACAAAATAAAAAAAAAAATAAATAAATAACCATTTTTTTAAAAAAAGAAATTATAACTCAGAGTAGTAGAAAAAGACCCTTATTACCCACCCTTCATGCAGGCAAGCCATTAAATTTAAATAAGCTATCACATTTGGACAGTGACTGGGAAGAAGTAGGCCCTGGAAAACTTTACTACAACCTGCTTGAATTGACCAACCTTTCATGCAGCTTTACAGTCAACCCTCAGACCCTTTTTTCCATTATACTTCCAAATATGAGGAAAGGGGGATGGGGGCACGGAGGTCAGGCCTTACTTGGCCAGCTAACAGGACACTATTAACACAAAGGGAAATATTAACTGATTCACTTTCTGGAATAAGTATTTCAAACACATAAAAGTAAAGGTATTAGTACAATAAACCCTTGTAACCATTTTGTAAACAATTCTTTTAAACAAGTATCCGTTCATAACTATTTTTAAAAATATTTGATCCCAATTTTATCTAAAGACTTCAAAAACCCATTTAAGAGCCACGCATCCTATAGATTTTTAAATATGAAAAACACAAAGCAACACATTTATATCAATGTAATTATTAAATTACCTTCCATCTAGCTCTCTGACAGCATCAGCTGCATCTCGGGGATCTTCAAATTCAACAAAAGCAAAGCCGGGAGGGTTTCTAGCAACCCACACACTTCGGAGTGGTCCATAGTAGCCAAAAGCCCGTTCCAATTCGGTCTTGTTGCCATTGTTTCCAAGATTGCCTACATAAACCTTACAGTCCAACGGACAGGAATCACGATGCATTTCTGTAATGAAAAATACCAGAAATATTCATTTATCTAAACATCTAGTCCACAGATCCTCAGAGGAATTCCATTAGAGAAGATAAAAGACTTTAAGGTAACATGTAAGGAGAAAAACTGAATTTTAAAATGCTAGAAGCCAAACAAGAAATGTTACTATTACTACTAAAGCACCCAATCCCCTATAATCTTTACTCAGGAAGTCAGCAAATTAGTAAATTAAAAAAAAAAAAGCTTCCTTGGAACCTTGAGAACACTAGAGGAGCATCTACCACCTCTGGGTCGTGAGTTAGGGACTTAACCTGTTATTTAATCGCCAAAATAAAGCATTTTTAGGAAAATAGAATAACCTGTTAAGAAACTATTTCTGGCAGGAAGTGGTGGCTCACGCCTGTAATCCAAGCACTTTGGAGGCCAAGGAGGGCGGATCACCTGAGGTTGGGAGTTCAAAACCAGCCTGACCAACATGGTAAAACCCCGTCTTTAAAAAAGAGAGAGAGAAAAAAACCAAGTCCGTTGGGGACTCAAAAACCAAATCAAACAATAATGAAAAAACATTAAGGTTATACTGCCAGGCAAGTGACTCAAAAGTGCCTACATAAGCCAAAACTTAATCAGCTTTAATAACAATAAGGCCAAGAGTTTTCACTTAAAAAAAAAAAAAATGCCCATTGGCAGGCGCGGTGGCTCACACCAATAATCCCAGCACTTTGGGAGGCTGAGGCTAGTGGATCATGAGGTCAGGAGTTTGAAGCCAGCCTGGCCAATCTGATGAAACCCTGTCTCTACTAAAAATACAAAAATCAGCCAGGCGTGGTGGCGCGCGCCAGTAATCCCAGCTACTCGGGAGGCGGAGGTTGCAGTGAGCCGAGATCGTCCCAATGCACTCCATCCTGGGTGACAGAGCGAGATTCCGCTCCAAAAAAATACACATATATGTTTCGCCCCATTTTAGTAAGCTACAGAAACTTTTCTGTAGCATAGAAAAAGGAACCATAGGAGCAAGGCTGCTGCTATCACATTAAATAGACCAAAGTCTTATGCAGTAGAAGGTTCTCAAGCAAGGAGACCAACTTGCCAATTTTTTTCATAGCAGCACTATTCACAGTAGCCAAAAGGTGTTAACACAAATGGCCATCAACAGAAACGAATAAGCAAAATGTGGTATAGACATGATAGTGTTATTTAGAATGAAGTACTGACAAATGCGCCAACGTTGGAAAATCGTGAAAACATTACGCTAAATTAAAGAAGCCAGACACAAAAGCACACGATTCCATAAATACTAAATATGTAAGATAGCTAAATACAGAAAGGGGAAGATTAGTGGTAGCTAAAGACTAGAGGAAGGGGTACAGTCAAAGTGTGAGTAACTGCTTTATGGGGGGAACGGAAATGTTTTGGAACTACGTATAAATGATAATTACACAACACCGAATACACTAAATACCACTTAAATGTACGCTTTAAGATAATTTCACTTTAAGAAAAATACAAAGAGGTACTTGCTACTCAAAAATTTACTGCACTTTGGCGACTTATAATTTTTGTTTTTCCTTGGGAGACTTCTATTTGATAAATCTTTATTACTTAGTTGACACTTTGGCGATGAAGCTGATAAACTTGTAGACCAGTTTCAATTACATAAAAACCATCTACTCAATTCAACTTAAGTGCTTTCCAGAAACACCACGTTCTTCTTACTCTGGGCTTGTCTAATTAAAATATTCAGTCCGGATACATCCTATTTATCGTGACCACACCCTGTGCCCAGGAGTTAGTTCTAAGATCAAGCCATTGGTGAAAATTAATTTTTAAAAACACTGCTGGCACCGTTAAGGATACATTTTAATGGGAAGCGGCTGAAAGAACCAATCTTAAGTTCAAGACAGATCGTCCGGACTTAGAAAAAAGTAATTAGACTCAGGCTGTAAATACTGAAACTACAAGAAAGTAAAGGTTTATTACTTGCTTTTCTGAAGTCACCAATCAAGACCGTACCTTTCAATTTACTATGAATTGAAAGGTCCGGTCTTGATTAGTGACTTTAGAAAAGCATTCTGAGAAGCTTCCCAATTAAATGAGGAACCAAAAAAAAAGGCGCCATAAAAAGGCCGCGACCTGGGATACGACTCGGCTACCTGCTCCCCCTTCTAGTTCCCAACTCCCGGGTAATCCCTTATCCCACTCATCCCCCAATGAAAAATATAAACACCTCCACCCCAAGACGAGGAAACCCTCTGATGGGCCGAGAGCCCCTGCCACCGCCCCGTGCTGAACGTCACAAAATGGCGGCGGCGCCTCTTTGTCTCAATCTGGCGCCGCCATTGGGCCTGGCTCCTCCTTGGTAGGATTAAATTCCACTTTCACCTCACTCCTTCTATCGCTGGTGTCTTACCGAGATCTAGGGTAAAAAAATGCAGAGGCTCAAATTCACACGCTCCGATGCGTCTTCCCGCTTTCCTGGGGCCCAACACACACCAACGCTCAAGCTCACCCGGCGTCCACGAAATGGCGGACCACCGCCTTCCCCTCGCCTTTATTTATACGCCATACTTTAATCACATGATTGGACGGGCTCGCCCAATGAGAAGCAGAGGAGGCCGTGACGTATGGCTACAAACGCAGCGACTGCCGCGGTTGCTGGGAGCGCGCTCCCGCGGTTGCTCCAGGTGGGTGGAGACGTGCGCCGGCGCGCGCTCGTAGTAACAGGCCTGGCGCCCCCTCGAGCGTTCTTCCTGGTCTGTCTGTCGACCCTCAAGTTACTCATAGACCCCCGCTTCCTCACCTCTTGATAGGGTGGGGCTTCTTAAACGGCACCGTCGCCGCCACAGCCACACACTGGTAGGAGCTGTTGACTCCTAACGAGATTAAGGAATGAATTTATTAATTGCTTCAGCCTTGTGAGCGGTTAGGCTGGAACCAAGCATCGCGTTTACAAACAGGTCACGGAACCGTTTGAGATCCAGCTGGCACCAGACTGTGGCCGCCGAGATTCCACACTGAAGGAAAATCCTGGCTTGGAAAGTTTGCCCAACTCTGGCTGGTTTCCCGCCTCTCACGCAAACTTGCAGGACTTGGCGCTAACGGCAAATGAGACCGGTCAGGTGACCTGGAAACTTATCACCTTTAGCAAACACCGGGAAAGGGAAGTTTCTGAAGTTTGAATGTAAATAATGGGCCCCCGAGTGAATGCCAGGAAAGGATATCTCGGGCCTTTCTCCTAGCAGTCCTTGCACTGCCTGGCATGTATTTGTCCAGGCCATTTCCCCTACGAAGACAGCCACAAGAATAAGGGGAGAGAGACTGATTGGGTTAGAAAAATCACCAAGGGCCGGGCGCGGTGGCTCACGCCTGTAATCCCAACACTTTGGGAGGCCGAGGTCGTGATCACTTGGGGTCGGTAGTTCAAAACCAGCCTGGCCAACACGGTGAAACCCCGTCTCTACTAAAAATACAAAAATTAGCCGGGCGTGGTGGCAGGCGCCTGTAATCCCAGCTACTTAGGAGGCGGAGAGCAGGAGGATCGCTTGTACCCTGGAGACGGAGGTTGCCGTGAGCTGAGATCCTGCCACTGCACTCCAGCGTAGGCTACAGAGTGAGACTCTGTCTTAATAAAAGAAAGAAAGAAAAGAAAAAAAAGTCATCAAGATCTCCCTTTCCTAAACAGTTCAGCTAGTCTCTTGCCCCCAAATTTCCCCCCACCCTAACCCCCTTTCAGCCTGGTCTGACGTATTGTTAAATTTGCTTGTAGCTGCTCTGAAAAAAAAAAGCGAGAGAGAAGGGCCGGGTGCGGTGGTTTAGGCCTGTAATCCCAGCACTTTGGGAGGCTGAGGCGGGCGGATCACCTGAGGTCAGGAGTTTGAGACCAGGAGTTTGGCCAACATGGTGAAACCTCATCTCTACTAAAAATGCAAAAATTAGTGGGGCATGATGGCAAGCACCTGTAATCCCAGCTACTCAAGAGACTGAGACAGAATTGAAGCCGGGAGGCAGAGGTTGCTGTGAGCCGAGATCATGCCATTGCACTGCAGCCTGGGCGACAGAGCAAGACTCCTCAAAAAAAGGGGGGGAGAAAAAGAACCTATGTTTTTATTTATTCCCTCTTAGCTGAAAGATATGCCAATTATTATGTTTTAACTTTCCCAGGTATTTTTCTTTTGAAGCCTTATCTCTTATTGTGTTTCTAAAAGGTTTATCTGTAGTGGAGGAAAAAAATACAGATCTGTTAGATCCTCAGCCTAGTTTCCTCACCTGTAAAATCAGGGAAGGGGATCTTAGCAAACCTTTTCTAATTTCTGTTCTAGATTTTTTTTTCTGCCTCACTTATATTTGCCTTGATTTGTTCCCCTCTATGTAACTTTCCTCCTCTTTTTTATTTTATTTCTTCCTATCAAATCAAAGGCTCTGAAGTCAGGCAGTCCTGGATTTGGCCCCAGCCCTCACTGCTAGTGACTGGCTGAAGCGTCCTGAGAACAATGCTTAACCTCTGTCAGTTTCCTGTCTCTAAAATAACCCCGGCCTTGCAGGGTTACAGCTGTTAGGTTTTGTCACTTTGTGGTCATACCTGCATCCCCAGGGCTTGGAAACGACATAGCAGGCAAGCAATACATATTTGTTTTTTATTTATTTATTTATTTTTGAGACTCTGGGTCTGACTCTGTCTCCCAGGCTGGAGTGCAGTGGCGAGATCTCATGTCACTGCAACCTCTGCCTCCTGGGCTCAGGAGATCCTCCCGCCTCAGCCTCTCCAACTGGGACGGCAGGCACAAACACCCGCCTAGTTTTCATATTTTTTGTAGGAACGGAGTTTCACCATGTTGCCCAGACTGGTCTCAAACTCCTGAGGCCAAAGCCATCCACCTTCCTCAGCCTCCCAAAGTGCCGTGAGCCATGGCACCCAGCCTTTCTTTTCTTTCCTTTTCTTTTTTTTTTTTGGAAACAGGGTCTTGCTCTGTTAGGCAGGAGGGCAGTGGGCAGTGGACTAAACGTCACTCACCACAGCCTGGACCTCGTGGGTTAAAATTAGCCACCCACCATGCCCGATTAATTTTTTTATTTTTTTGTAGAGACAAACTGTTATAAGCAAAATTTCCATGCCACAAAAGAGATAGCACTCGAAGATATGTCCTCTCAGCAAGGCAGTTTATTTCTATAGAAGGGTACAGGGTGCACGGATGGAGTAATGATGGCTGCCGCCCACTTGGACAAGGTGGGAAAGGGGGCGGGCAGTCCCCCTATTGGCTACGGTTAGACCACACAAGCTAGACTAATCCCGATTGGGTATTTTAAAAAGAGCAGGGTCCAAGCTGGAGTAGCAGTGTGGGTGTTTTGGTGGGAATGACGGTTCTGGGCTTGTCAGAGCAGGTAGCCAGGGGTGATTATGTGACTGGGATGAGTCAGGGTGGAACCAGAGGGAGGGGGAGCAGATGTGAACTCCTGATGAACCAGTGGAGAAAGTTGTTTACTGGAATTAAAAGGAAGTTAAACTTTAAAATAGAGATTTAAAGAATAAGAGAGCTGAACATACTGACATACTGATTATTTGAAGAGAAACTTGGGGTTCTCTATAACAACAGTCTCACTTTGTTGTCCAGGTTGGTCTTGAACTCCTGGCCTCAAACGATTCTACCACCTTGGGAAAGTTGTTTGAGACCAATCCGACTCCTGAGGTTGGTCTTAAATTCCAAACAAGTCTCTAGAAGTGCCAGAATTACAAGCATGAGCCACCTCGCTGGTCTGTTAAGTTATTTAATTAAGTAAGAGAAATGATGTATGTAAATCATCTGGCTCAATCACTGCTTTTAAAAATGCTGACTGGCTGGGTGCAGTGGCTTATGCCTGTAATCACAGCACTTTGGGAGGCCTAGGCAGGCTCATTGCTTTACACCAAGAGTTTGAGACCAGCCTGGGCAACATGAGGAGACCCTGTCTCTACTAAAAATACAAAAAAATTAGCCGTTGTGATTTGAACCTGTAGCCCAGCTACTTGGAAAGCTGAGGTGAGCGAATTGCCTGGAACCCAAGGAGTTGAGGCTGCAGTGAGCCGAGATCGTGGCACTGCACTACAGTGCATTGCAGTGCAATCGAATGAGAACCTGTCTCATAAATAAATAAATGCTGGCCTTTAAAAAATTTTTATTTTCCCATTCCTTCTCACCGCTTTTTCTGTTTTTGTTTTTGTGTGTAGTGCTAGTCAAGCGTGTGTCGGCCTTGGCCTTCCAAAGTGTTAATTTTACAGGTGTGTGTCTTTCAATGAAACTTTCTTAATCCCTCCATCTCTAGTAATGAAAACATTCTGAACCTCCCCTGGTCATCCGCAGCTTTCTGTCTTCTAGCGACTTCAGACAAATGAATTATCCACTTGCTGTAGGTTTTTTTTTTTTTTTTTTTGGTCTCACTCTGTCACCCAGGCTGGAGTGCAGTGGCACGATCTCGGCTCACTGCACCCTCCACCTCCCAGGTTCAAGCAATTCTCCTGCCTCAATCTCCCAAGTAGGTGGGATGACAGGCATGTGCCACCACGCTGGGTTGATTTTTGTTTTTTTATTTTTTGAGACAGAGTCTCACTCTGTCACCCAGGCTGGAATGCAGTGGTGCAATCTCAGCTCACTGCCGCAATCTCAGCTCACTGCCACAATCTCGGATCACTGCCACTTCTGCCTCCCAAGTTCAAGCGATTCTCCTGCCTCAGCCTCCCAAGTAGCTGGGACAACAAGCACACTCCACTGCGAACAGCTAATTTTTTATAATTTTAGTAGCGACAGGGTTTCACCATATTGGCCAGGCTGGTCTGGAACTCCTGACCTCATGATCCACCCGCCTCGGTCTCCCACAGTGCTGGAATTACAGGGGTGAGCCACGGAGCCCAGCCCCCGATTTTTGTATTTTTGGTAAAGACGGGACTTCACCATGTTGGCCAGACTGGTCTCTAACTCCTGGCTTCAAATGATCTGCCCATTGGAGCCTCCCAAAGCACTGGAATTACAAATGTGAGCCACCACACGTGGTCCTGTGGAGTATTTTCATGTTCCTTTAAACTTATAGGACCACCACTCTTGTCTGGACCCTCGACTACATGAGTTTTTAGTACAGACTCAGAATGGGAACCATATGTTGTAGGAATGTGATTTTCTTTGGGGAATCACCCTTCTCACAGTAGTACTTATTATTGATTCGAATGTGGTTGGGTCCTACACCCCTCTTTTTCAGGGGTAGGGAGGTAACCATTCCCAATTAATTAAATCATTCAAGTTATTAGTCTCTCCCTCGAACCTCCCCCCATTAGGAATGAGGATAAGGAATCCAGTCAGACCAGTCAGCTGCTGAGTCCAGCACTGCTCTTAGGCCAGCCAGAGAGAGGTATGCTACTTCCCCTGATTAGCACAGTCCTGAGCTGGGGCAGCCAGCCTGTTTCCAAGAGGGCAGAAGCAGCCTGAGGGAGACCCAACACAGTGGGAAGGAGAACTGCAAGCTGGGAAATAAGAAACCCTGGAGAGTCTTGTTGAAGAAGCCTTGAACCCAGCTCCACTTTCTGAATTCCCAGTTATTTATTTATTTATTTTGAGATGGAGTCTTTCTCTGTTGCACAGGCTGGAGTGCAGCAGTGAGGTCTCGGCTCACTGCAACCTCTACCTCCCATGTTGGCCAGGCTGGTCTCGAACTCCTGACGTCAAGTTGTCCACTCATTTCAGTGCCCCAAAGTGCTGGGATTAGGGGGTGAGCCACTGTGCCCATCCTGATTTCCCAGTTATTTGAACATACAGTCAGCCCTCTGTATCCTCAGGTTCCTGCAACCAACTACAGATCAAAAATGTTTTTTTAAAAGAATAAAAAAAATACAACAATAAGAATTAATACAAGTTTATATCAATACAGTATAGCAACCATTTACTTGTATTAGGTATAATTAATGTAGAGTTCATTTAAATTATAGGGGAGGATGTGTGTAGATTATACGCAAATACTACGTTTTATATAAGGGACTTAGTTGAGCATCCTCAATTTTGGTATCCTCAGGGGTCCTGGAAACAGAATCCTCCCACCACAGAAGGTTAAGCACACAAGTTCCCACATTTTTCTCAAAGTGCTTAAGCCACTTTGAATTAGGTTTTTTCCTGTCACTTGCCATCAGAAAGATTCTAAATACAAATATTATTTTATATTTTATTTTACAGAGATGGGATCCTGCTCTGTTGGCCAGGCTGATGTCAAACTCCT